GGGGGGCGCAAAGCAGAGCGAAGCAGAGCCAAGCCTCGGAGCGCGTGGGCAGCCGACAGCCCTGTCTGCTGCCCACAGGTTCCGCAGCTTTGCTTCCTCTCCCTGGTCTGCTGGAGACCAGGGAGAGGAACGCCCCGTTCGTAACTGCGTAACTCGGGGACTGCCTGTATTCTGAAACATCCCTTAATCCTCATGGAACAAGATTTACAGGGATGTCAGAATAGAAAGCCTACTTTTTAAAAAGCTATTTTGATATACTGGGCTTGTTTTAAAGACATGGAATAGCTACTTTGAGATACCGGAAGTATCCCAAAATAGTGCCACTGTCCAAATGCACCCTAAGACTCCTACCATATTTTGTCGACGATGCAATTAATCAATAAAAGTTAGCTCTGCAAGCACTCAGTCCCAGTTGTGCCAGATCTGGCATCTACCCCCGCTGTGTCTCTGCATGAAAAGTAATTTAGTAGCTAGCAGGAGGGCAGCCCGGCTCAGTCCTGGCTCCAGGTCCTGGAAGCTACTCCCATTGCAGCTCTGCATTAATACTTACCTTGCAGAGCCACAGCCCGGGTAACTCCCAGGACCCAGCATGAGCCAGGACTGAGCCAGGCTCCTGACCAGCCCTCTAAAAATTTTACATGATTAACTGGTAAGTGGCCTTGCCAATATCCAGCTACACAATTACATTTCTAATACAGACAGTGCTGAAATTAACTTAAGTTTTTTACAATACTGTTATACTGCCTTCAGGCAGGGCAGGGTGGGGGAGAGCCTCTGGAAAAGGAGTAAAATTTGACAGCACCTGTAAGAAATTTAAGTGTGGAATAGAGTATAGGGGGCTCCAGGCAGGGGGTTGGGATGTGCGTGCGGGGATCAGGGCAAAGGAATGTGGGAGTTGGGGCAGGGTGCTGGGGATATGTGGGAGGAGCAGGAGTCAGGTTTAGGAGAGTACGAGGTGCAGAGGGTGGAGATATGGAGGGATGCAGAAATCAGGGCTGGGGAGGAGTGCAGGGGGACAAGGACACCTTTTACAGGGACACTGTGTACTGTCCTCTGGCTCTCAGAGTGAGAGAAGTGGAATACCAAGCAACAGCGGTAGGAATGGGGACACCCTCCCTAAAAGCCATGGAGGGGCACTCGAGGCTGGGGGAGTCCTTTCCCTTACCAGACTGGCACTTCACCTTATTTTCGCCTCTGCCTACAGATACGCATTGCACTTTCCGCACTTTTACAGGGACACTGTGTACTGTCCTCTGGCTCTCAGAGTGAGAGAAGTGGAATACCAAGCAACAGCGGTAGGAATGGGGACACCCTCCCTAAAAGCCATGGAGGGGCACTCGAGGCTGGGGGAGTCCTTTCCCTTACCAGACTGGCACTTCACCTTATTTTCGCCTCTGCCTACAGATACGCATTGCACTTTCCGCACTCCGGGAATCACTGTAGCATCTCGAGCCGGACACCAAAACCCTTCGCATGAGCCATCCCAGTGATAGCCAGGTCCCCACGGGAAAACGCCAGCAGATTAGATCCCTTTAAAAACAAGCAGCCAAGCC